TGGCGGATGTCTATGCTCATCCTTGGCGCGTTGCAGACAGGGCCCCGCCTTCCTTGAATTTCGCTTCCTGCGGGAGCATACGGAAGGCTGGCGGAAACGGGCGGAAGTGAAGCGACTGCGGAAGGTAGGCGGATGACGTTGCAAGCAAAGTGAGACGCGAACATTGTTGGGCGCACGGCTTCCAGAGCGGGTTTTAGATCGATTTCAGGGGGTGGAGGTGGGGGGCAGCTCTGCTGTTGGAAGGTTGAGACTACGTGGCACACATGATCGGGTGGGCTGGCGGCCACAAGTCTTGGCCGTTAGGTCGATCCCATGGGCCCCGGATAACACTTCAGAGACATCGCCCGAGAGGTGCGTGTCCCTCCTCCTCCGTGTCTTGCGATTCTCTGCCTGTGTGGTAACATGTGCTCTGTATTTCGCACGTGCAAGGGGCTCGATAGGGGCAGCCCCGTTCCTTCGCATATCGCCCAAGCGAGGCTCGGGTAGAGTCAGGCGGCGAGAAGGTCGTCGCCGACTGCTACCGCCATCGTCGCCTGAACCTGCCCTCGTCACAGCGTCGCTCCTCCTCCTCCGTTTCTCCCTTCTCCTCCTGTCATCGTTCTTGACCCTGCTCCTGGCGCCCCTGCCGCCGCTGCCGCTGCCGCTGCTGCTGCTGCTGCTGCTCCTGGAGAGCCTGACTGCCTGCAGCGTGTTGATGCTCGGCGTGCGCTGGGTGGGCGGTGGGCGGGCTGCCGACCGGTGTGATATGGCCTAGGCCTAGGATAGTCGAGCGACTTCGTCCCGATGTTCTCTTGTGGCTTTTTGTTCTTCCTCTTCCTCTCCATGTTTACCTTCCTCCAGGTTCTAGCTTTCGTTCAGTTGTTCCTGATGTGCAACTCGTGGGGTGTGTGTGTATACTGCACTTGTACTCCTCTGCACAGCGAGGCGCCGAGGTGTGCCTCGCCTTGGCCTTCTGGGGGTGGGGCTCCGGCTTCCGGCCGGGCCGCGCCTCGGCTCTGGTGCCGGGGTGAGCCCCTTCGTCGCTGGGGCCCGCCGTGGCCGGGAAGGCCGCGTGGGTCTCGTGGTGGCGCGGTGGTTCCGCTCGGCCTGCCCGTGCACCTCGCCCGCGCCCTCGTCCTGCGTCCGGCCGGCCCTCGAGGGCCGAGGGAGGACGAGGGCCGAGGGAGGGCGAGGCCCTCGCCCTCCCTCGGCCCTCCCCGCCGCGGAGCCGGGCCCCGAGGCTGGAGCGGGTGCCCGGGGCAGCCGGCGAGGTGCCGCGCCTGGCGTTCCTCTCCAGGTCTGCGTTTGGCCAGCTTCGGCTGCGGGCTGCGGCGTGCCTCGGGTGTGAGACAAGTGTTGGGCCGACTGAGAGGCGAAGCGAGCAGCACATCTCGAGCCGCGGACCGGTGCGGAGAAGGTGGAGCAAAGAGGCATGAAACGAAGCGTGGCCCCACTGTGCAAGAGGAACCTAGTCCGCTTGCCTTCCTCCTCCTCCTCCTCCTGGGTCTTGCTTGTAATTGGGTGCGCGGGCCTTCTCGGGCACGCGCCGGGGGGACCTTCCCACCTCCGCAGTGCAGTAAAACACTATTTGGGGTCGCCGCTGGCTAGCACTGTTGTTAAGGATGGCGCGACGCTGGCGCTCGTGTCAAACATTCCTTGCGCTCCTCCCCCTCCTCGATCCTCCTGGTGCTGGCCCGGGTGGGCCCCTCAGGGTTGCGGCGGGCACACTACTCCTTCTTCGCGTGGTCACCCTCCTCGCATCTTCTCCGCCCTTGGCCGGTCTGAGAAGTTCGGTTGCGAGCGTCACTGCGCGTCGCCAGGCCAGCAACACCTGGAAGTGCTGGCCAGGGGCCCAAGGGAGGCCTCACCCGAGGGGCCCTGTGCGTTCCGGCGGGGCAGGGCCCCACCAGAGAGATCTGATCATCTGGTGGCAGGGCGTTCGTCAAACGAAAAATATTCTTCGCCCTCCTTTCGGGGGCGGAAAAGAGGGGGGTGATGACTAGGGGGGGGTGGATATCATGGCGTGGGCCATGATATCTCCCCAGATTTCATGGCGCCTCTTCTTGTTTCATTACGTCCCTGGCCCCCCCGCTGGGCCGCGCACATGCCGCCGGTCATGATTTGCACCCCCCCATCTTGGACACCCCCCTCTTGGCCGCTCCCGATCCTTCTGTAGCAAACAACTCCTGGGAGGTCATATTCAGCATCGGCGCTGCCGTATCCGTGGTCGAGGGACCTGCCTGGTCCAGCAGAACCCCGTTCAGCCTCGTTGAATCCGCTTTGCTCCGGCTGGTTCGTTCTGGGTCGAATCGGGGCTGAGATGGCTCAACTGTTGCCTAATCTGGCCTTCTGGCTTTTACTCGTTCTTGCGACGATGTCCCAGAGGTTGCCTCCTAACCTTCTCTCCTCCCTTCCCTCTCCTGCTCGCTCCGCCCCGCTCCCGCCAGCGAGGGTGTGGTTCTCCGCCGTGCGCGGCGCCCTCTTCGACCAGGTCGAGCGCAGGGGCCTGGCGAAGTTTGCGTACTACTCAGAGAAGGCCACCGCCCTCGCCCTTAGGATGGGCAACGTCAGGGGGGAGATGGGCTCAGGGGGGGTGGCAGCATTGTGCCCCAATCGTCCTTTCGTCGTCGGGAAGGGGCCCGATAGGCCACCACCCTCGCCCTTAGGATGGGCAACGTCAGGGGGAGATGGGCTCAGCGGGGGGTGGCGGCACTGTGCCCCAATCGCCCTTTCGTCGTCGAGAGGGTTGCCCGAGAAGGCCACCCCGCCCGCGCACGTGCCGATTCCCTATCGGGGATCTATCGCCCATCTATCGGTCAGGGGTGGACCCAAACGGTGGTTTGGCGACTTCGTGGGCCGGTTTCGTTCCGACTGCGTTTTGCCGCCGAGGCGGACTGGAGACAACAAAAAAGAGGGAGAACGACACAACAGCCCCACGGCGAAACAAATTATCTTGTGTCGAGCCCTGCTATCGGTTGCGTAATGATCGTCAACGCCAGCTCAACATTCGCCCCCCCTGAGCTGGTCCTTCGGGGCTGGACAGACCTCCTACCCTGACACGTCGATTGAGGAATTGGCCGTTTTCGGTTCGCGACGGGGCGTCGCGGCCGTCATTTTGCGGGTCCAGGTCCGTCGGTTTCGGCCCCAGGCCGTTTTCACTAAGGGGAGGTTTACTAAAGGGAGGTTTGTCCACCGCCGAGTCCTCCCCGCACGTTGACCCTCGCCCTGGCACAGGGACGCGGCGCCGGGGCCCGCGGCGGGGCAGCTGCGCCCGCGCGGCGGGCTGGGAAGGGGGGGAAGGTCGCGCGTCTTGGAGCGCCCAGTCCCCGGCACGCCCAGCGAGTGGACACCTCTGGGTGTCTTCATAAGCTCCTCCTCCTCCTCCTCCTCCTCCTCCTCCTCCTCCTCCTCCTCCTCTCCTCCTCCCCCTCCTCCTCCTCCTCCTCCTCCTCCTCCTCCTCCTCCTCCTCCTCCTCCTCCTCCTCCTCCTCCTCCTCCTCCTCCTCCCCCGGTCGTGGGGGGACGTACCCCCCACGACTGGGGCCAGCCTCGCCTCGTCGTCGGGCCGCGACGGGGGTCGGAGCGCCTTCGGCGCGCGGCGGCTGCCCGCGACGGGGGTCGATGTGGGGGGCCCCCCCGACGCTGCTTGAGACACCCGGAGTAGGGTTCAGCCTGCAGCAAACAACTCGAAGCATGGTTCAGTGTGCAGCATGGTTCAGTGTGCAGCAAACAACGCTTCTTGAGACACTCGGAGTAGGGTTCAGCGTGCAGCAAACAACTCGGAGCACGGTTCAGCCTGCGGCAAAGAACTCCATCCTCGGAGCCCGCGCGGATTCCCTGGATCGGCGCCGGCCCTCCGGGCGGCGCCGCCCCTGGCGCGCTCCGCGCGCCAGGGAGGCGGGCCCAGCGCCGATCCAGGAAGTCCATGGGGGGGCCTCCGCGAAACTATGGTGATGCAGTTGCTTGTTCCTCCGGGAGGAGGAGAAGGCTTCGACATCGCTACCCATGCCCGGTCTGCGCCTCTTCGGGGCCTCGCGCGAGCATGTGAGGCCCTCGTCACGCGTCGCCACCTCTGGCTTCGCTTCAAACTCCGTGTTAGAACGCACCACCTTGCGACAGGTCCTAACGGTATCCGTATCGTTTAGTTTCCCCACGTCCGCCTGCACCAGCTCGGCCTGGAAAGATGTAGGATGGACGAGGGAGCACGAGGAGGAGGAGGAAGAGGAGGAGGAAGAGGATGAAGGAGGGAGCAGGAGGACGAGGACGGAACAGAAGGGAGCAGGATAGGACGAAGGAGGATGAAGGACGGAGCAGGAGGACGCAGGAGGAGGAATCAGGACGACCAGTGGGTGTGGGCGACTAGAGAGGATGAGCGGGGTGAGGAGAAGGAGGAAAAACATGAAGAGGCGGAGGAGGAGGATGAGGAGGACGAGGACGAGAAGGAGGGGGAGCGAGAGATGCAGCGGTTGCAGGAGGAGGAGGAGGGGGGAACGACGAGGAGCCCTGGTATGATGAGGAGGACGACGACAGCGGCAGCGACGACGTAGACCAGGAATAATGTAATAACGAATTGCGAGATGAGGAGGGGAAGGACCAGACTCGAGAGGAAGTGAAGCGTGAGGAGGTGGACAAGGATTCAGAGGATAAGATGGGGTTGAAGATGCAGGGGCGGGAGGAGGATAGAGACGGCAAATATGATGAGGATTGCACGGGATATGGGTATACATAAAGGAATTCGGTTTGGCATGACAATGGAGAGTTGGTTGCTTTGAGCCCGCCGACACAGCCTCCGTCATGTCCCATCGGCGGCCTTGCGAGGAGCAGGGCCAAGAGGAGGTGCGCAACGACGACGAGAACGGCGAAGCCGATCGCCGCGGCCCCGACGGCGAGGACGGTGACGACGGCCCCGACGGCGAGGACGGTGACGAGGTCGGCGACGGGGCCGGGCGCGAGGACGGTGGCGTCGGCGGTGGCGCTGGCGACGACGACGACGACGACGACGACGACGCCGCCGCCTGGCCCAAGGGCCGCACCCGCTCCAAGGGGGGGGTGGGGCGGCGGGCCCGAGCTCCTCGAGCACAAGAGAGCCCCTGACCCAAAGAAGACGAGGAAGACGCGGCCTCGCGGAGGTCCCCGTCGTCGCAGCAGGGAGCACGTGCTTCTGGGCGCTCTGGTCCGACACACCTGCAGAGAACCGGCCCCTGCCCCTCCTGTTCAGAAGCTGGGCGGAGGCTGCAGACCCGTGGCTGCTGAACCGGAGCTCCAGGAAATTAGTTTTGTTCCTTCCGGGAAGCAGCCCGTCTATTATTTCGTGCGGTGAGCTTGATTCCGGGATTTTTTTTTTTTTTTTTTTTTTTCTCTTCGGGAAGACCGCTTTCGTAGCCACGGCTGTGTCGGCCCTCGCCCAGCTCCCAAAATGTTCTGGCCCTCCAAACTTGCGCAGGCCCCCTTCCAAGGGGTTAGGGGTCCTTTTGGGGCTCCTCGCGCGCCGCCGATGCCGTGGGCCGCGCGCGGGCGCGCCCGGCCGCGCTGCCCGCCCCGCGGGAGATGGAGACCGCCCTCCGCTTGCCGCCGCCGCCGCGTCGGGGGCGCCGCGTCGAGGGCGGTGCGGTGACCGCACCGCGAGAGGCGGCTCCGCGAGAGGCTCGGCATCGCTCGGACGTGTGCATTTTTTTCCTTCGGCGAGGGCCATCGAGGAGCATCCTCGATCATTGGGCGAGAGAACCACGCACGAGACAGAACAAAAAACACAGGGAGTGGCCGTCCGAGCGATGGCGAGGAGGGTTCCTTCGGCGGCGAGCGAGGGGGGGGGAAGTGAGAAGGAGAGAGCCTTCTCGGAAGGTTCGGAGGTCCCCCCGGGCCTTCTGAAAAGTGTTCTGAGCCTTCCCCGAAGGCAGCAGAACCTTTTTTTTTCAGAAGGCGCGAGGGCTTCTGAGAAGCCCCGCCGCCTTCTGAGGAGGCCTTCTCCTTCTCATTTCCCCCCTTCGCTCGCCGCCGATTCTTGGTCGGAGGAGAAAGATGTGCCGATGCCGCTGCCCCCCCTCGTTTTCCCATTTTGGGGGGTTCCTGGGAGGCCCTCGTCGCCACCGCTGGATTCGCTTCGAAATTCTGCTCAGCACGCGCGCCGGGAGAGGTCTTGGGAGTAGCGTTAAGCCGGGCCTGTCCCCCCACAGGGGGACTTTCGACGAACTACTCCGACGGAAGAACCCCACATAAGAATCCTCTGGGCGAATCTGGAAAAAGCCATCACCGTCGTCCTCGTGGTTGGTGAGGCGTCCTGGCTGTCTCTTCTGCGTATATTTCCTCTCGCCTTGGCGCGGGCCCCCCTTCCACTCCTTACGTTGTCCCCATCCTCGCCCCCCTGTTTGTTCCGCGCCCCGCCACCTCCTCCCCTTCCTGTTGCATGAGCGCGCATGTCGATGTTCCTCGGCGCCGTCGCCGCCACGGCCAGCACAGGCGCGTTCTCTACTGGTCACGTCGCGCAGCCGTTGGGACAACCCCGCGGGCCAGGCTGTCGGGACAACCCCGCGAGCCGTTGGCGCGCAAGACCAAGCCGTTGGGACAACCCCGCGGGCTTCGAGCGAGGCGCAGCCGCGCTCAGGCGGAAGGCAGCACGAAGCCCAGCTCTGCCGCGAGCTGCTTCGCCTCCGCCCTGGACAAAACCGCTCTCTTGTCGAACTCCAGGAGCGCCTTCCGCAGGGACGCCGGCGGCCCGCACTCCAGGAACTCTCGCGGCGGCGGCCGCAGGATCAGCATGTTCCGCATGCACGTGGCGCGGGAGAACATGACGTAGAGGTGCAGCCACCACTGCTCGTCCGACATGCCCGTGCGGCCAGCGTCCTCGTCTCTCGCGCAGTCGATGGTGACGCCCTTGCGCAGCGTCTGGCCCTGCGACAGCGTGGAGGTCAGGTAGGACGCGTGCGTCAGGGTGAACCCCGAGCGGCGCACGCTGTGCGCCCCCGAGCTCTGCCATGTGAACTCCCTTTCGCTGGGCCTGAACATCAGCAAGCTCCGCGCCCGCGCCTCGGCCTGGCCGTCGTCGTCGGCGCCTTCGGCGCCCTGTCGCAGCACCTCGGCGACCTGAGGAGCCCAAAAACTTCCTTGTTGCGTCCAAATGTGGCCTGGGAACTGCGTTCTGGCAGCGCGAGAACCCAAAATTGACGACAGTTACAGGTTTTGGATGACCCGCTCGGATTACCAACATGATCTGCGGGCCCCATAGGGAGGGGGCTCCCGCCTGAGACTTCCTCGCAGTTCACTCACAGACGAGGCTCCCGCCTGAGACTTCCTCCATATTCAGGCTTGAGGAGCCCAAAAGTGACGACAGTTACAGGGTTCCGATGACCCGCTCGGATTACCAACATGATCTGCGGGCCCCATAGGGAGGGGGCTCCCGCCTGAGACTTCCTCACAATTCACTCAGAGACGAGGCTCCCGCCTGAGACTTCCTCCAAATTCAGGCTTGAGGAGCCCAAAAGTGACGACAGTTACAGGGTTCCGATGACCCGCTCGGATTACCAACATGATCTGCGGGCCCCATAGGGAGGGAGCTCCCGCCTGAGACTTCCTCCCAATTCACTCACAGACGAGGCTCCCGCCTGAGACTTCCTCCATTTTCAGGCCTGGGGAGCCCAAAAGTGACGACAGTTACAGGGTTCCGATGACCCGCTCGGATTACCAACATGATCTGCGGGCCCCATAGGGAGGGGGCTCCCGCCTGAGACTTCCTCACAATTTACTCAACGATGATGAGGATGAGGATGATGAGTGGTGGTGAAGATGAGTGGTGAAGAGGATGATGATTGATTGTGAGTGGTGGTGGCGATGATGATGTTTGAATGAGGATGATGCCGATGCCGATGATGATGATGATGATGATGATGATGATGATGATGATGATGATGATGATGATGATGATGATGATGATGTTCGTGAGCGTGTGAGAGAGTGCGAGTGATGATGATGATGAGTGAGTGATGATGATGCTGACAAGCATGTCATCATCGATGATGCTGATGAGGTTGATGATGAGAGAGTGTGAGTGAGTGTGAGTGGGTGTGTGTGTTCCTGTTCCTGCGCGGGGTGTCCAGAGAAAACAAGAACCCCACTTTGGATGTGGGGGAAAAAGGGGCATAGTTTCCGTTTCAAAAGCACGAATGTAGATCGAACTGTGAAGCGTCCCAATGGATACGTGCCGGAGCACGACCCAGAGGAAGCGCACGGGAGTGCGTCCCAGTGGATACGTGCCAGAGCACGACCCAGAGGACGCGCACGGGAGTGCGTCCCAGTGGATACGTGCCAAAACACGACCCAGAGGAAGCGCACAGAGTGCGTCCCAGTGGATACGTGCCGGAACACGACCCAGAGGAAGCGCACAGGAGTGCGTCCCAGTGGATACGTGCGGGGGCACGACCCAGAGGAAGCGCACAGGGGTGCGTCCCAGTGGATACGTGCCGAACACGACCCAGAGGAAACGCACAGGGTGCGTCCCAGTGGATACGTGCGGGGGCACGACCCAGAGGAAGCGCACAGGGGTGCGTCCCAGTGGATACGTGCCGGGCCACGACCCAGAGGAAGCGCACAAGAGTGCGTCCCAGTGGATACGTGCGGGGGCACGACCCAGAGGAAGCGCACGGGAGTGCGTCCCAGTGGATACGTGCCGGGGCACGACCCAGAGGAAGCGCACGGGAGTGCGTCCCAGTGGATACGTGCCGGAGCACGACCCAGAGGAAGCGCACAGGGGTGCGTCCCAGTGGATACGTGCCAGGGGCACGACCCAGAGGAAGCGCACAAGGGTGCGTCCCAGTGGATACGTGCGGGGGCACGACCCAGAGGAAACGCACAGGGGTGCGTCCCAGTGGATGCGTGCCGGGAATAACGTTCTGGGAACACGACGAACACGAAGTGGCCTACAGTTGGCTCCTCGCAATTCACTCAGAGACGAGGCTCCCGCCTGAGACTTCCTCCAAATTCAGGCCTGAGGAGCCCAAAAACTTCCTTGTTGCGTCCAAAATGTGGCCTGGGAACTGCGTTCTGGCAGCGCGAGAACCCAAAATTGACGACAGTTACAGGTTTTGGATGACCCGCTCGGATTACCAACATGATCTGCGGGCCCCATAGGGAGGGGGCTCCCGCCTGAGACTTCCTCGCAGTTCACTCACAGACGAGGCTCCCGCCTGAGACTTCCTCCATATTCAGGCTTGAGGAGCCCAAAAGTGACGACAGTTACAGGGTTCCGATGACCCGCTCGGATTACCAACATGATCTGCGGGCCCCATAGGGAGGGGGCTCCCGCCTGAGACTTCCTCACAATTCACTCAGAGACGAGGCTCCCGCCTGAGACTTCCTCCAAATTCAGGCTTGAGGAGCCCAAAAGTGACGACAGTTACAGGTTTCCGATGACCCGCTCGGATTACCAACGTGATCTGCGGGCCCCATAGGGAGGGGGCTCCCGCCTGAGCCTTCCTCAGAATTCACTCACAGACGAGGCTCCCGCCTGAGACCTCCTCCAAATTCAGGCTTGAGGAGCCCAAAAGTGACGACAGTTACAGGTTTCCGATGACCCGCTCGGATTACCAACATGATCTGCGGGCCCCATAGGGAGGGGCTCCCGCCTGAGACTTCCTCCCAATTCACTCACAGACGAGGCTCCCGCCTGAGACTTCCTCCATTTTCAGGCTTGACGAGCCCAAAAGTGACGACAGTTACAGGTTTCCGATGACCCGCTCGGATTACCAACATGATCTGCGGGCCCCATAGGGAGGGGGCTCCCGCCTGAGACTTCCTCACAATTTACTCAACGATGATGAGGATGAGGATGATGAGTGGTGGTGAAGATGAGTGGTGAAGAGGATGATGATTGATTGTGAGTGGTGGTGGCGATGATGATGTTTGAATGAGGATGATGCCGATGCCGATGATGATGATGATGATGATGATGATGATGATGATGATGATGATGATGATGATGATGATGATGATGATATGATGATGATGATGATGATGATGTTCGTGAGCGTGTGAGAGAGTGCGAGTGATGATGATGATGAGTATGTGAGTGACTAAGCATGTGAGAGAGCATCATCGATGATGCTGATGAGGTTGATGATGAGAGAGTGTGAGTGAGTGTGAGTGGGTGTGTGTGTGTTCCTGTTCCTGCGCGGGGTGTCCAGAGAAAACAAGAACCCCACTTTGGATGTGGGGAAAAATAGGAAATACCCCAAACATGGTCAAACAATTATCAAACAATAGTCTGGGGATTATTTTTTAAATATTTGTTTTGCTTTTTGGGGAGTTTGGGGGGTATGTTTAATTTGTCGTCGAAAATCCCCTTGTAGGGGGACAGGCCCGACCTAAGAGTAGCGGTAGCGGTGCCTGTTGGTTTCCCCACTGGGGGCCCTGCCCGGGCCCAAGGGCGGTCAAGAGGCGGCTCGCAGGAAGCGGGCACGGGGGAAGGGTGGGGACCCCCAGCAGGTGCGGTGGCCACACTGTGTGGTGACTCCGTGGATATTCGTGGCGACCGCACGGTTCTGCGGCTTGGGCCGCTCTCCGAGGACGTCTCGGGCGACTGGGGCCTCCGAGAAACCTTGGGATGACGGGCTGCGTGGTGAGGTCTATGGGGGTTCCGAGGTCACCGCACGGTCCGACACTGCACCGTTTCGGAACCCCCAGGTCGCCGCCGTTGCCAAGCAGCCCAGAGTTTTCGGACCCCAGGGACAAGGTACTCCTGACAGGCATGCGGCGGAGTGATTGCTCTTCAGCCGCAACGTCTCTCCTCGGTTGCGGACTTCGGAGGCCGTTCTCGGGAGCCTGGGCCGTTCAGCACGGGTCCCGGACGAAAGCTGCCGCCGGAGAATTAGGGGTCGGGACCTCAGGGGTCGTCGAACGTCAGGGTGCGAACGCCAGACGTCGCCGCCGACGACGTCGCCGTCGCCGTAGACGACGTCGCCGTCGTCGCCGTCGCCGTCGCCGTCGTCGTCGTCGTCGTCGTCGTCGTCGCCGTCGCCGTCGCCGTCGTCGTCGTCGCCGTCGTCGTCTTTGGGGCCCCTCGGGCGCGCCTCGCGGGGCCGCTCTCCTGCCAGCGGCCGCCCCGTGTGTGGGCTCTCGGCTCGCGCGGGTTCTGTCTTGTTTTTTGTGTGTGGTCTGTGTGTGTGTTTGTTTGTTTGTTTGTTTGTTTGTTTGTTGGTTTGTTTGTTTGTTTGTTTGTTTGTTTGTTTGTTTGTGTGTGTGCGTGTGTGTCTGTGTCTGTGTGTGTGTGTGTGTGTCTGTGTGTCTGTGTGTCTGTGTGTCTGTGTATGTGCGGGGGGGGGGGGGGGGGGGCGTCGTGTTGTCCGCCGTCGGCGCGGTCGGAGAGGAAGGGGGGGCGGAGGGGAGGAGAAGCGGGGAGGGGGGGAGGATCGAGGGGATGGCCCCTCTTACTTTTCCACAGGTTCTCTCCTCCTCAGCGGCATCAGCTGCGTCGTCATCGTCCTCCCTCTTTTCCGCCTTCTCTTCCTGCTGCTCCTCGTCCTCCTCGTCCTCGCCGTGGTTCTCGTTATCTTCCTTCTTCTCCTCCTCCTTTTCCTCCTCCTCCTCCTCATGCATCCTCATCCTTATTGTCACTCTTCTTCCTTACTAATGTTTTTTTGGGGTGCTACAGCACAGCGTTAATTGGTTTAGGAATTACTTGCTGTACCGCGGGTTGTATACAAGTACAGCAATAATTGCGACGGGTATTTCAATGCAGGCTCAGAGTGGTGATAAGACAATTTGTGTTCTGCATGTCTAGAGAGTTGGAAAGGAGTTCGAAACAATGAGTTTCTCGAGTTAGAAAGGAATTCCGAATGCCGGGGAGAATTCTGAATCTAAGCTAAAAGTCGAAACGGATTTGTCCGATGAGTGCTAGGGCCAGGAATAACTAAATTAGTTAGAAAGGAATTGGATGCGTAATTTTCAGAGTTTGAAAGGGACTTCACATACCGGGGGTGATTCTGATTCTCAGAGACAATCGAATCAGAATTGCCCGAGAAGCGCCAGGGCCAGGAAGGAGAACATAAGTTAGGAAGGAATGCGATAAGGAATTTCCAGAGTTAGAAAGGAATTCCGAATACCAGGTGTGATTCTGCATCTCAGAGACAATCGAATCATAATTGCCCGAGAAGGGCCAGGGCCAGGAAGGAAAACGAAGTTAGAAAGGAAGTTGATAATGACTTTCCAGTGTTAGAATGGAATTCCGAATACCAGGGGTAATCCTGCATCTCAGAGACAATCGAATCAGAATTGCCCGAGAAGCGCCAGGGCCAGGACGGAAAAAGCAGTTAGAAAGGAATGCGCTAAGGAATTCCCAGGGTTAGAAGGGAATTTCGAATACCAGGGGCAATTCTGCATCTCAGGGACAATCGAATCAGAATTGCCCGAGAAGCGCCAGGGCCAGGAAGGAAAACGGAGTTAGAACGGAATGTGATAGGAATTTTCCAGAGTTAGAAAGGAATTGCGAATGCCAGGGGCAATTCTGCATCTCAGAGACAATCGCCAGGGCCAGGAATGAACAGGAGTTAGGAAGGAGCCATGAGGTGCAGAATTCCCCTTGGTATTACCCCTGGTATTCGAAATTCCTTTCTAACTCTGGGAAGTCTCTATCACATTCCTTTCTAACTCTTCTTCCCTTCCTGGCCCTGGCGCTTCTCGGGCAATTCGGATTCGATTGTCTCGGGGATGAAGAATTACCCCTGGTTTTCGAAATTCCCTTCTACCTCTGGAAAGTCATTATACATTTCCAGTCTAACTCCTTTTTCCTTCCTGGCCCTGGCGCTTCTCGGGCAATTCTCATTCTAACCCTGAGATGCAGAATTGCCCCTGGTATTCGGAATTTCTTTCTAACTTTGGAAATGCCTTATCACATTCCGTTCTAACTCCTGGCCCTGGCGCTTCTCGGGCAATGTTGCTTCGATTGTCTCTGGGATGCAGAATTGCCCCTGGTATTCGAAATTCCCTTCTAACCCTGGAAATGACTTAGCACATGTCTTTCTAACTTGTTTATTTCTTCCTGGCCCTGTTGCTTCTCAGGCAACTCTGATTCGTATGTCTCTGAGATGCATAATTTCCCCTGGTATTCGAACGTCCCTTCTAACTCTGGAAATTCCTTAGCAACTTCCTTTCTAACTCCTTTTTCCTTCCTGGCCCTGGCGCTTCTCGGTCAATTATGATTCGATTGTCCCTGGGATGGAGAATTACCCCTGGTATTCGGAATTCCATTCTAACACTGGAAAGTCATTATCAACTTCCTTTCTAACTCCTTTTTCCTTCCTGGCCCTGGCGCTTCTCGGGCAATTCTGATTCGATTGTCTCTGGGATGCAGAATTGCCCCTGGTATTCGAAAGTCTTTTCTAACTCTGGAAATTCTTTGTCACATTCCTTTCTAACTCGTTTTTCCTTCCTGGCCCTGGCGCTTCTCGGGCAATTCTGATTCGATTGTCTCTGGGATGCAGAATTGCCCCTGGTATTCGAAAGTCTTTTCTAACTCTGGAAATTCTTTGTCACATTCCTTTCTAACTCGTTTTTCCTTCCTGGCCCTGGCGCTTCTCGGGCAATTCTGATTCGATTGTCTCTGGGATGCAGAATTGCCCCTGGTATTCGAAAGTCTTTTCTAACTCTGGAAATTCTTTGTCACATTCCTTTCTAACTCGTTTTTCCTTCCTGGCCCTGGCGCTTCTCGGGCAATTCTGATTCGATTGTCTCTGGGATGCAGAATTGCCCCTGGTATTCGAAAGTCTTTTCTAACTCTGGAAATTCTTTGTCACATTCCTTTCTAACTCGTTTTTCCTTCCTGGCCCTTGCGCTTCTCGGGCAATTCTGATTCGAGTGTCTCTGAGATGCAGAATTGCCCCTCGTATTCGGAAGTCCTTCCTAACTCTGGAAATTCCTTATCCAAGTTCTTTTTAACTTCTTTTTCCCTCCTGCACCTGGCGCTTCTCGGGTAATTCTGATTCGATTGTCTTAGATGCAGAATTACCCATGGTATTCGGATTTTTGTTCCTAACTCTAGATTTTCCTTATCAAATTCCTTTCTAACTTTTTTTCCTTCCTGGCCCTCGCGATTGTCTCTGAGATGCAGGATAGCCCCTGGTATTGGGGATTCCATTTTAACTCTGGAAATTCCTTATCAAATTCCTTTCTAACTCTTTTTTCCTTCCTGGTCCCGGCGCTTCTCGGGCAATTATGATTCGATTGTCTCTGAGATGCAGAATTACCCCTGGTATTCGGAATTTCTTTCTAACTCTGGGAAGTCTCTATCACATTCCTTTCTAATTTGTTTTTCCTTCCTGGCCCTGGCGCTTCTCGGGCAATATGATTCGATTGTCTCCGAGATGCAGAATTACCCCTGGTATTCGGGAGTCCTTTCTAACTCTGGGAATTCCGCATCAAATTCCTGTGTAACTCTTTTTTCGACCTGGCCCTTTTCGGGCATCCCCCCTTCAGGAGATCCGGGAATACAGGGCACGCGACGACGCGGCCTGCAGGACGAGCCGCCCCCCGCTTCCACCGGAGGGCGCGAGAGACCGCTCCGCGTGCGGACCGCTCCGCCGGCCGACTGCTGGCCGGGCCGGCAGCCGGACCCTGCTGGGCGGTCGGGCCGGCGCACCCCCAGCGTTCGGTGCCTTGGAGCAGGGCTCGCGGTCGGCGTCGCCGCGGACGGTGCGCAAGTGAGACACACAGTCGCTCACCACCCACCAAACCACCCCAACCCAACCCGAAGGCTCAGATTTACCCTCGATTTCCAGTTGGGGGGGTCGGGAAACATCGAAAAAACACGTGTGGAACCCTTACCCCCCCCAACCCGAAATTCGGATCTTCGGATTGGGTTGGGGTGGTCTGGTAGGTAGTCACCAGTGGCGGCCGATGTTTGTTTTGGACGACATGTGCTTTCGGGCATCGTGCCCATTTCCTCTGTACCCTCTGCGGGCGTGCCAAGTTTCACGGGTTCCTGTGAGATGGGGTGCATGACTGGGCGGGCTGGGGGGGAGGGGTAGGTCAAGCAGCACGGGCAGCGACGGCCGCACGATCGGCTGGAGCCGCAGCCGTTGATCCCGCTGAATGGAGCGTTGGAAAAGACATTATTCAAAGGCGGAGGCAGAGGACAATGAGAAGGAATGCTAGGAGGAAGGATGGAGGGAGGCAGGCTGGGATGGAGGAGGCGGAGGAGGAGGAGGAGAAAGAAAAGGAGGCCTTCTTCTTCTGGGCAGCTGCGATGCGCGCCGCCCGTTCCCCCCCTGCGGACAACCACGCCCCGAGGCACTTCCGCGCGAACGCGCGAGGCTGCCATGGTTCCTCATAATCCCCCGCATACCTGTCATGGACGGTTCTTGACAGTTGAAGCACGACATGACACAGCAAACATAGCCAAGGTACTCCACAGGATTGGACATTCCGCACGAGCACGTCGTTCCACGTCTCCCTCAAAGACCTCGGGGTCCTCAGTATGTGCATCGACACTGGTAGCACAACAAACCACGATCATACCAAGGCTCCCTCATATTCGATACCTTCGAACACTGACGCTCCTGAGTTCATTCCAACCGCGGCTACTGACGATCTGATGGACAGACAGTAAATTGCAAAAGGCTTATGTTAGCAGCTTCCAGTTCCATTGTCGCTGCCCAGTTCACTTTTGATTCCATCGCCCCCTCCCTCATATACGCCGCGCCCCGACGTAGGCGAAGATGAAAAAGTCAATGCCGAAAGAGCTGACTAGACAAATGGAACCGTTGACAGTCAATGCGAGAATCCAGTCATAAGAAGTCGTGCCCATATGGCACCCCAGAACGGGTTCCGAGGTGCCACGGCCTAGCAGAGGGCACGCGCTTGACAATTCCAGTGAGCATATCTACGTTCACGTTACACAGTGCGGGTGGTTTCCGATTGGCAGACTCGGTAACCGAATCGAACCCACAAAAGGTGTCAAGTGTCAATTGCGCAGATATGGAAGAAATTGCCGCCTTCGTTTGAAATTCCATTTTGGATACATCACAAGTGGGACATCAAAAGTGGAGATGTCAGGACAGTGGAGATACGCCTACACGTGGATACATCAAACTTGGAGGTACCACATTTGGACGCTGACAGGCTTTCTGATGCCTCCTCGCCTACATCGACACACACGCCGTGATCTTTGCATGTCACTGGTGAAGAAAGGACAAGGGATCCATAGCCACGGCGTTTGACAATAGAAAAGATGGCAAAGTCTGCACGTTGGTGACACCATTCAAGAACCTAAGGGAGAAGACCTTGCTAAAAATCTTCAGCAAAGCATTCTCCAACGCAGCGCGACCTCACAGTGCGGGGCCAATTGTTCCATACAGGAGAATTGCAGAAGGCAGTGCGGTCGTGGAAACTATCTGGCACATCGCACTTCGTCATTGCACCGGGTGTTTTCCCCTCGTCAGCACCAGTACCTCATTCACCACAATCATCACCTTCTTCATGATTATCCACTTTCATTTGTTTTATCCGAATGCGGCTGGCGAGGCGTAACTTTCCATTGGGTCGCGTTCAGAATTGCCCCTGCGAGGGCAATCGAGTTGGATTTGGTGGTGGTGGTGGGGGTTGTGATGAATGCGGAGGAGGAGGAGGAGGAGGAGGAGGGGGAGGAGGAGCACCAGTGTAAACCCAAGAGTCATCAACGATGTTGGGATGAACTCTGCTTCCAAGCTCCCTTTTCACAGGCCCCTATAACGTTTCATTTCCATTGAGGGACTTACTGTGAAGCTCTGGCAAATGTTTAAATCGACTGTGCGCCGAGCTGAGGCGAGAGGCACATGTTGAAAACGACCCGCCCTCAATCCGTGAGACTCCTTGCACTTTTTGTAAACGGGTTTGCGCGGCGCCAAGGCGAGAGCCACATGTTGAAACCGATCCTTGTTTTTTGGCAAATGTTTGAAATTCATGTGCGCCGCGCTCAGGCGAGAGCCACATTTTGAAAACGAGCCGCCCTCAATATGTGAAGCTGTCGCATACGTTGAAATTTAATGTCCGCCGTGCCCAGGCGAGAACCACATTTTGAAAACGACCCGCCCTCAATCCGTGAAATTCCTCTCAACGTTTGTAAACGAGCTTGCGCGGCGCCAAGGCGAGAGCTGCATTTTGAAAACGACCCTTATAATTGGCAAATGTTTAGAATTAATGTGCGCCGTGCTCAGGCGAGAACCATATTTTGAAAGCGACCCGCCTTCAATATATGAAATCCTTTGCAAGTTTTTAAGACGAGTGTGCGACGCGCCCAGGCGAGAGCCACATGTTGAAAACGACCCTTGTTTTTTTTTGCAAATACTCAAAAATGAATGTGCACCGCGCTCAGGCGAGAGCCACATTTTGAAAACGAGCCGCCCTCGAAATGTGAAGCTCTTGCAAACGTTTTAAAAGAATGTGCGCCGAGCTCAGGCTAGAGCTCTATTTGGAAAACGAGCCGCCTTCTATCCGTGTAACCCTTGCAAATGTGTTAAACGACTATGCACCGCGCTACGGTGAGAGCCGCATGTTGAACACGGCCCGCCCTCCGTCTGCGAAGTTGTTGTCAATTTTGAAGCTTCAGGATCAAGAGTGGTGAGGAAGTCTCACGCGTAACGCCCGGCCCGCCCTAAAATCTTGCCGCAGGGTGCGACAGGGAGAAGTTACTCATAAGAAAAGGGAATGAAGCAGGCGTCTGCCAGCTGCTCGCTGCAAGCCGCGCTGCCCGCGCATACCAGACGGAGGACCTTGCACAAGCAGCACAGCCTTGCACATTTATGATCCTTTCGATCATGCGGTTGATCTTCTCTCCGTCCCGCTGTGTCTGCGTTTTTCTCGTTTTTTGTGTATCTCTCTCTCTCTCTTTCTCTGTTTGGCTTCCCTCACGTCTGTCTTCCATCCAGTCGCTACATGTTGCCACCAGCCCCCCCAAAAAACAGAACGTCCGCAAGCAACACGTCGAGCTTTTCAACCCACAGACCCCCAGCGAGGGCATAAAGGATGGAGGAGGAGGAGGCGTGTTTGATGGAGGTGGGCGGGGAAGAGGTTGAACCTATCATGTCTACCACACATGCCACCGATGGCACATCTGGCAAAGACATAACTCGCGACAGAGATTCCAGCAACTTCCGAATGCCAGACCAGAACACTCGATAGCCAGCGCTCGCATCACTCAGCCCCCAGTTTCAAGCGACGACCCTTGTTGAGGACATCCAGGATGAGGATGGCGGTTGGATGCGATCGACGGACTGCAGAGTTAGGGGTAACGTTTTGTACCCAAGTCTTTCGGCGAGGGCACGTTTCTACAAGACTTTCGGGAAGGCAAGGTTTCACATCGCAGCTTTCATTCGAGTGTCGCACTCTGTTCCCTCTCATCCTCGCCATCATCGCCCGAGGAGGAGAGAAAGAGAAGGGCCGGTGGGGGCAGAGCGTCAGAAGTACCATCGATGAGGGCAGACCCGGCGACCCTCGGAACGCTTGGCCGCCAGAGACATACCCTGAGCAACCCCAGCTTCTGCGCCTGCCGGAGAGCGAGCTGCCGAGCGACACGACCGCCGCGAGGGCGAGTCGACCGCCGAGGCGCTCGGCGAGGGAAGAAGGGTTTGCGTGGTGGTGGTCTTGGCATCGCTCGGACGTGTGCATTTATTCCTTCGGCGAGGGCCATCGAGGAGCATCCTTGATCATTTGGCGAAAAAACCACGCACGAAGCCGAAAAAAGCACAGGACATGGACGTCCGAGCGATGGCCAGTGGTGGGGGGGAGGGAGTGGGGGGTGGTGGTGCGCTCGGAGGAGGGGGCTGATGCCGTTTGCCGCTGTGGCGGCGGAGGCCGCCGTGCTTGTTAGGCCGCCAGTCGTTGCAAGCCCTGGCCCCCCCCCCTTCTGTGCGTGCTGCCGTGCTCGGGTTGGATCGTCGGGAGGTTGGCGGGCGCGCGTTTGACGGTGGTGGTTTGGGGGGGGGTCAGCGCTGATGTTGTCCAAGCCGCAGCTTCAAGCGACAACCTTCGGCGAGAGCGCCGACGCAATCTCTTCTTCGTCGCGCACAGCGCCGCTGCAAGCAGAGCATCGCATCACAGGCTCAGGATCTTGCCCTCGGTGGGGGTCCTTGTGTTTTGGGGTGGGTGGAGGTTTACATGCGGGAGGGGTGGGTCAGGTCCTGTGCGTACGCGTCGCGTTTGCCCTACATGTCCAGCTGGTTTCGCCTGGCCCACGTTCTCTCAGCACTCGTGCCGAACATCACGTGTTTGTCGTCTCGCATTTGTCCTTATGGGCTGTTCGTGCGTCCTTCCCTATGAGGAACGCAACAGCCCAATCGCCGAGCTTACGACTAGAAGATTAGCCTGGTATCAAAGCTGGGCCACCTACCAGGAGGAACATATACAGGTGCTGGTTGCGCTCTTTGCTGGATTGCCATTCGAACCCGATGACGGCTGGCCTTGCCATCACGTCGACGGTCTGACAGCGTTTGCCACTCCGTGGGCCCAGAGAGTTCGGACCGACATCGAGGCTGCTATACCGGCATGCCCCGATGAGGAAGAATTACTAACCCGCATCGTTCAGTTACCATGGTTATTGTTGGAGGAGGAGGAGGTCCGACGAGATTTTGCACGTATCGATTTTCGCCGTGTTCGCAACTACTCGCAGACCTACATGATCCCTCCGCCTGGCCTCGACCCGCCCCAGGGGGAATGTGAGATGCAGGACGCGTTTCAGGATCTGGAGCTCCCTTATCGTTGCACGGTGGTAGAGGACGGGAAGCATTGCACACAGGCCTTTGCGTCACAGAAGGGTCTCATGGAGCACATGCGTCATCGACATCATGTCCGTAACCTTAGCCACGTACTAATCAAGACTAACCACTGCCCCATATGCAGAAAGATATTCAAATCCCGCACGACAGCAGCACGGCATCTTCAGGCTGCTACTCAACGGGGGTATTGTGGAAAATGGGAGCCCAGGTCGATCACACATTTGATTGCGCCGTCAGATTTTGCTTGCAAGTTGTGTTCATTCGAAGGGGCATCCTACGTCGACTACTGTAGCCATATCTCGGCTCACCTTCCGTGGCGAGTTCAGAAGTTCTCACCAGCTACATATCTTCGAGCTGCTGATTGCCGCACCCGTGGGCTGCGAGGTCAAGCAGATGGCGGACGAGGGCATGCCCAGTTGGCTGAAGCGTCCGTCGGAGGGCCCGCAATCGGCGGCGAAGTTCGGCAAAGCAGGCGAGAAGGGCGAGGGCTCCAAGGGCGGCGGGAAGGTCAAGGGCGTCAAGGACGACTTCAAGGTTCTCATCGTGCTCTTGGCGAAGTTGGTGCTGACGGGGGCCCGCCAGATCGCGGCGCTGGAGTGCGCAACTTATCAAAGCTACGTGGTGCCAGAAGAGGCTGTGGACTCGGTCGGGGCCATTCTCAAGCAGGCGGGCGAAGACTACAACTCGGTCTCAAGCGAGCTGCGAAAAAAACAACAAAACGGAGAGCAGGTGGACTTCAAGGATCGCGGGCCCCCGTACATCACGATCTTCGTGACTCTCATCAGCCACATCATGGAGATGACGAAGGAGGGCGCAGCAGAGGCGGACTCCAAGATCTTCTCGGCGGTGAAGAACTACTGGCTGGCCCACGTGAAAGACAGCACTCCCATGAAGATGGGGGAACACGTCCTTCACTTTCGGTACAAGAAGGCCAGGAAGGACGCGGTGAAGGCCGAGGGCATCTTGCACACCGCGCTGGCTCTGAACAACCAGGTGCTCGGCGACATGTGGACGGCCGTGCTGCAGTGGCTCATGACGAAGCGGAACGCGACGCGCATCACAGGCCCCGCTCCACGGGGGCCATTGGAGAGAGAGGTCAGCAAGCTCGTGGGCGAAATGCAGAAGTAGCAGATTGGAGGACTGGAAGCAGTAGGCTAGCTGAGCTCGTGCGCAGTGGAGTGCTGCCTGCTAGTGTGATGCAGCCCAATCATCTTCAATCTTACGCTTCTCCCTCTCTGCCTAGTGTCCCTATTGTCCATCTTGCTCCTGCTCGCCCGAAGGGTAGGGGGAAACAGAGCAGACAGAGTTCTGCTCCGCCTGCTGACGAGAGAGGCAGAGGTGGAGGATTTGCCCGCGGCACGGCTCGCTGGCGAGGACAGGGTAATGGCCCTGCTGCTGATAGTGGGACGGGGGGTGGGGAGGCTTCGGGTGGTGGATAGTAAACGCTTGCTCCAAATGTCCGAGCGGAGGCTTGGCCAAAATATCCCGCCAGGCGCTCGCTCCTGGTTCTGGTAGCTTTTATGTGCCATCACCTCCACCGGCTCAGCCGCAACCACTGCTGAGGATCGGAGGCTGCATCGCGAGCGGCCCTTGAGGGGCAGCTTGGCCAAAATATCCCGCCAGGCGCTCGCTCAAACCATCCTGGTTCTAGTAGCTTTTATGTGCCATCACCTCTACCGGCCCAGCCGCAACCAATGCTGAGGATCGGAGGCTGCATCGTGAGCGCTGGCCCCCAGAGGGTACCCGCCAGGGCTGCGCGCCTAAACGGCGGATCGCCCTTGAGGGGCAGCGCGAGCGCCCGCTCGAGGGGCCACTCGGGCTCAGGAGCGGTTCCATATCGAGACTGATTGTCGCGAAGACGACGCTCAGAAGTCTTCTAGTAGCACGGCTGGTGTTATGGAGTAGACTTCCAGGAGCTGCCTTGCCTTGCCTTGCCTCCTCCTCCTCCTCCTTCTCATCCTCCTCCTCATCCACCACCTTCTCCCCTCGTCATATCTCGTCGTCCCTCCTCCCTCCGTCCTCCGTCTCCTCTTCCTCCTCCTCCTCCTCCTCCTCCTTCTCCTCCATCCTCCTTCTTCTCCTCCGGTTCCTCCTCCTCCACCTCCTCCTCCTCCTCGGCGCTCCCCGCTCCGGGGTGGGCCTCCGCCGCGGTTTGCCGCCTGCGAGCTGCGCCTCCACCTCCTCCTCGCCCTCTTCCTCCTCGGCGCCGTCGTCGTCGTCCCCCTCCTCCTCGCCCTCCTCCTCCTCCTCCTTCTCCTCCTCCTCCTCCTCCTCCTCCTCCTTCTCCCTCCTCCTCCCTCCTCCTCCCTCCTCCTCCCTCCTCCATCCTGGCTCGCTGCCCAAGGATACTAGAGGCCAGGGCCTCGGGGCAGACCCCGCCCTGGATCGCGCGCCTTGTTGACGGCGCCTTCATCAACTTCGCAGCCTTCGACGCGCGCGTGGCCCAGTTCGAGGAGGACCCCATCACCCATCCCAGGAGGAGGGGGTGGGGAGGAGGAGGAGAAGGAGGAGGAGGAGGAGGAGGAGGAGGAGGAGGAGGAGGAGGCGCAGGAGGAAGAAGGAGAGGGAGGAGGAAGATGATGATGATTGATGATGAGGAGGAGGAGGAGTAAGAGAAGGAGAGGAGGAGGAGGAGGAGGAGGAGGAGGAGAGGAAGATGATGAGGAGGAGAGAGAGGAGAGGAGAGAGGAGGGAGGAGAGCAAGGAGGAGTAAGAGGAGGAGGAGGAGGAGGAGGAGAGGGAGGAGGAGGGAGGGAGGAAGGAGGAGAGGAGGAGGAGGAAGAGGAGGAGGAGGAGGGGAGGAGGATAAGCAGGAGGAGGAGGAAGAGGAGGAGGAGGAGGAGGAGGAAGAGGAGGGGGGGGCAAGGGATGATGGAGGAGGAGGAGGGGGGGGCAGGAAGAAAGGGAGGAGGAGGAGGAGGAGGAGGAGCAGGGCGAGGAGGACCGAGGTTTGATGATTATGATGGTTCTTGGTGGCCTCTGTGAACTTCCGGGGGCTTGCGGAGCCGAGGCTTGTGCGGGGCAGGGGGTGCCAATAATAAGAAAAACAAGAAGAAGGAGCATGGAGGATACTGGAAGCGCAGGGTGGCACTGCCCCTTCCCATGGCCCCGAGATCCTCCACCCGCGCATCTGTCTTTCCCTGCCATCCTCCTCGTCCCTGCCCTCTTCAATCCCCTCCTCCTTCTCCTCCTTCTCCCCATGCCTCCAATATCCCATGCCATCTTGCTTTCCCGCCTCCCTTTCCCTCCCCTCGTCCTTTTCTCGTTCCCCCCCCACTCCCCTCGCCCTCTTACGCCCCCACGACTTGCTTGGAACGCGTCCGACCATTGTCTCGTCGAGGCGGAATTCGGCCGTGCCGACGAGGGAGCCCCCCCCGAGGGCCCAGAAGGCGAGGAGAAGGAGGGGCAGATCCGCCGTTACGGCGACGACGACAACGACGACGACATTCGTCTTCCATTTGCTGTGTCAGCGATTCCCAGCGTCTCGCCCTCGACAGCCGCCAGCGTGTTCAGCCCCACGCAGAACTTGATATACATGCCGCGGCCCCCGCGAGTCATGCGATGTAGAAACAAACGGCGAACGCCTTCCGGAGTCGGAGCCCTCCCGCACCGCCACGTCCACAGATCCACCTGTGTCCTCCTCACCCTCCTCTGCCCCATCCTTGCTTTCGCCCTCATCCTCGCCCATGCCTCCTCCTTGCTGGTGGGATCCGCCTGCGAGGGGTGCCCCACCCCCTCTCGCTCATGGCTGGAAATACCTCCCGCGCGGGTGCCCGCACCCCCTATCCCCGCTCCTGTTGGGATCTGCATTCGCGCATGCCTCCGCCCCCTCCTTCACAAAAGTTTGTCGCTGAGTGACAAGTTTCTTCGCCGTCTTGCCTTTGACGATGTGATATGGCAGCTGTTTGCGGTGCGCTGCTGCATTTGCGGGGGGGGGGGTAACGACAATGCCTTTCCCACTTCCTTGCTCCCTGGCCGCCTGCCAGGGGCACGGGGGGGTAAGCAGCAGGAGGAGGAGGAGGAGGAAGAGGAGGAGGAGGCAAGGGATGATGGAGGAGGAGGAGGAGGAGGAGGAGGAGGAGGAGGAGGAGGAGGAGGAGGAGGAGGAGGAGGAGGACGGAGGAGACGCTGGTGCGGGAGGAGGAGGAGACGGAGGAGGAGGAGGAAGAGGAGGAGGAGGAGGAGGAGGAGGAGAATGAGGAGGAGGAGGAGGAGGAGGAGGAGGAGGAGGAGGAGGAGGCGGCCCAGAGGAGGAAAAGACGGAGGAAACCCAGAGGAGGCCCCCGCGGCGACGACGACGCCTCCCTCATCCCCCCCCCCCGTCCGCCCGCCAGGGGGGCCTGGCCCTGGTCGCGGAGGCCCACAGGCCCGCCGGGGAGATCGTGGGCACCGTGTGCGGGGCCGTGAAGTGCCTGTGGCTCGGGGGGCGGAAGGTGGCCCCGGGGGCGCCTCGAATCGGCCCGCCGAGCGGAGAAGGGAGGCAGTCCCCTGACCTTCCAGGAGGGCTAAAAAATAGCACCCGACGTAAAAACCTATCCCAGAGCTATTTTACGTCTTGGTTTTAGGCTGTTTCGTCTCGTTTTTTAGGTTTTTAGGTTTCCAGTGCTAAAAAATAGCTCTCTGGAAGGTCAGGGTCAAGAGCCGTGCCTTAGACGGCACAACTCGGGGTGGGACAGACCTCCCCACAGTGACACGTCGATTGGTGAGCTGTCCTTTTTCGGTTCTCGAGAGGGCGCCGTGGCCGTCATTTTCCAGGCTTGCGCCCGCCAGGTTTGGGCCTCGGGTCGTTTTCACTAAACCACGGTTTACTAAAGGGGGGTCTGTCCATCCCCGAACAACGATTGCAGATGCCGTGCATGCGTGTATGTATGTACAGTGGCATTCCAGCGTCAGTCGGGACTGTGCAGAAGTCTGCTCACTCACGCCCGACCCTTCCAAGAGGCCTGCATGGTGGACAACCCGGGAGAGCAGCGGCAGCGGGCGGCAGACGAGGGAATGACATACGGGGACAAGGGCGAGCCCAGATCCCGAGAGAGAAGAGAGAGGAAAGCAGTGGGCATGTGAATTGCGTTGGGGGTGTTGGTTAAGAAACGCGCCCGGGAGGCTTCAGACCCCGGAGAGTTTCTTTTTAAGGAACCTTCTGGGGCGGCAGTGCCTTCCATGGCCTATCCACGTTTGGAGTTCCACCGGCTTCCAGGCCTTGCGTCCAACGATTCCAAATCCAACGCCCTGACCATAGAAAGCCGATCCGCCAGTACGTGTACCACGGAAACCGCACTTCCGCCGGTTGCCTTGGGGGGGGCCCGCAGCATCCTTGGGTACCTGAAGAAGCTCAGAGCTTGACGACAAGCATGCCCGTAGGTTTCTTACAGCAAGATTTCTGAGTGTATGTGGGGCGTTCCAAAAAGGGCCTTGCCTTCGAGGATCGAAGGAGTTGTCATCTCTTCTGCGGCGGAAGGTCGGCGGAAGTAAAACGGCCGCCTCTGCCAGCGGAAGCCGGTGGGAGCTCGACGGAAGTTGGCGGAAGCAAATAATGCGCCCCCAAGGGATGAACACATGTTTGTGCTCAGGGTTTCCGAAATCGCCCACGTGTTGACTGTGATCGAGACTACAGCGGCCTTCCCTGGCGTTCTTGAAACTTGAAACTCTTTGTGAGCCTCCTGGAGGCTTCTCGTCGCCAATGCTGGGCCTGCCTCGCAAAATGGGTCAGGATGGATCCCGGGGTGTGGGCCGGTGGGACAGATGCGGAACGGATTTTGCAACCAGGCGGCAGAGCCGCCCTTGTCTCAGCCCGAGAGGCGGCAGGAGACGGCAGGAGGCAGCCTCAGCGGCGTTCGCAAGGGGGGTGGCGCGGAGTGGGGAAAGGGAGGGAAGGGGAGGGGGGGGGGCTCTTTGATCGTGATTTAAACTGGCTTCTTGTCAGGAGGAGGCAATGTTCTTAATTGGAATTCGTCCTGGCCTCTAGGAACCCCTTTTCCGGAGACCACCGTGTCATTCTAAGACGGCGCATTCCATCTGAGAGCCCCCGAAGGTCATCCGAAGGTCTGCCCCCCTTCGCGCCATCCCCCTCGTGCGAGACCTCACGGGGGAACCAGATGTGAGCCCGTACGGGAGACCATCTCGGAGAGCAAGCGGGAGACCACAAGAGGAAGGCGGATACGGGAGAGCACATGGACATACCATAAAAAACGCCACACGGGAAAACACACACACACACACACGGGGTACCAGGCCCGCCCCTGCTGCTGGGAGGTCGTCGAGCGGATGACCAAACAGGAGGCCATGCACGAGACCATACGCGAGACCCTACGGGAGACCGTGCGGGGGACCAATACGGGAGGCCACACGGGAAGCCATCACGGGAGACCCTGCGGGAGAGCAGAACACGGGCCACCGAGCCACCGACTCCGCATCGGGCGTCGCTCGCACCCGGCCTCTCGAAGAGCAGTACTACAACACACGTTGTTTTTTTTTCCGAGTGTATATATATATATATATATATATATATATATATATATATGTGAGTGCGTGCACACCAATACGATTGTACGGACCAGTGGTTCAGGACCCCCCGCCCCTCCCCTGCATCCGCCTTCGCTCCACAGCGCGGAGCCGTCTCTCGGCAAGGCGCCTCTCCACGATCCGCCCCAACCGGACGGCCTTCCTTGCCCTCACCCCTCGCCAGGGGCTGCCCGCGGGCTCATCGCCAAAGCGGCTCTTCGCACGAGCGACCGCGGGTGCGGACTCGCGAGGATACCCGCGGCAGTGGCTGGCCGACGCGCGTGGGCTTGCCCGCCCCGCACGGCACACCGAAGCCGCGCACCAAAAGGGCACTCCTGCCTGGGGCCGCTCCTGATTGCACCCGATGCTGCTTGACGTTGGTGGCAAGAATTCATCCCTCCCCCTGCCTCCTGCGTCTCCCCCTCATCTCCTTTCGCCTTCTCCGCATTCTCGCCCTCCTCCTCCTCCTCCTCCTCCTCCTCCTCCTCCTCCTCCTCCTCCTCTTCCTCCTCTGGCCGCGGCGAGGAGAATCACCCCGCAGGCCCAAAAAGGGCACGGAAGGGCCAAAAGCCCCTTCGTTCTGTCTCCGCAGGTGAAGGTTTGCTATGTCTTCGACCTCCGCGTGGCACCAGAGGCACGTCGCGGCGGGCTTGGGTACAGGCCGCGGGTCGTCGAACGTTTATTTCTAGCGACAAGCTCTTGGGGATCAATGGAAGCGGTCCCGGGCGCTCTCGTTTTGACGTTGGCTACGCTTCTTCGAGAGCGAGGCTCCCGCTCGAGCGCGGGCCTCCCTCCAGCTGTGGGCTGCCGAGGGCCCGGCTGCGGCGACCACGGCTCCCGATCGATGCTGCTACGCAATCTGCCGCCGGACGCCCTGGCCAGAGAGCCCCATCGAATTCCCCAGACCCCCGACGTCATGATTTTTTCATGACGCGACCCCCAGAGGTCCGGACCCATTCCCCGGGACCGGTTTTTCGTCCTGAGTCGTTTTTGACGCTCCCGAGGCCCGGTGAGGGCCCCCAGAGGCCGAAAATTAGGAAAATCCTCCCGTCGTGATTTTTTCATTACTCGAGGGGGTCTGGGTCCATGAGCGGCACTCTGTCTCGAGACTTCCTTGCGAGCCACTCGGGCCGGCGCAGGCCCAGCTGCAGCTACGACGACCACGGCTCCCGCCCGCGACGTCCTCGCGCAAGTTGCTCCAAGACGGCCTGGCCAGAGAAGCGCCCCCCAAGTCAGGAGCGGCGGCAAGCGGCGGCCCTCTCCAGAATGGTCCTTCCTCTCGTCGGGCTGGCGGCATATGCCAGCCATGTGCGCCATTCGAGAGTGTATATATGTATATATATGTATATATATGTATATATATGGATATATATATACATATATATATATATATATATACATATTATGTATATATAGTTATATATATATATATATTATGTACTTATAAAGTTATATATATTATATATATATATATATATATATATATATATATATTCGGGACCAATGGCCAGTTGCCGCCCCGTCGCCTGGGGCATCTCTTGGCGGCGCGATCTCGGGGTCCAGGGCCTGCCGCACCCGCTGGGGGCGCAGAAGGCGAGCGGGAACGGCAGAACGTCTGGGATGTAGCGGTGTGGAGGGGCGACGGCGGGAAGGAAAGGCGAGCGCGGAAGGTATGGGGGGGAGGAGCGGCAGGGGACTCGAGAGGGAACGGCGGGACGGGGTGAGAGCGGGAAAGGGGCGAGCGCGGAATGCAAGGAGGGGAGCGGCAGAGGTGGGAGAGCGGCGGAGGAGACTGGCTCGAGGATCGAGCCTCGATGATCGAAGCGGAGGAGGAGGTTCGAGGCCCGAGGCAGAGGAGGGTCGTGGTTCGAGGCTCGAACGGCATGCGCCGAGGATCGATGATTGGGGGTTTTGGGGGTATGTTTTGTTTGGCGTGGGGCCTCCCGAAGACTTCTCGCCGCCACGGCTCGGGTGCAGTTCGCAGTTCCGGTCAAAGCGCCTCCCCAGAGTGGTCTGGGTGTGGACTGCCGACGTTTCACGGAGGCGGAGGAGAGGAGAGAAGGAGGAGGAAGAGGAGGAGAGGAAGAGAAGAGGAGGAGAGAGGCGGAAGGGACGATACCAGGACGAGATGATGCTGATGATGATGATGATGATGATGATGATGATGATGATGATGATGATGATGATGATGATGATGATGATGATGATGATGATGATGATGATGATGACGAGGAGGAGGAGGAGGAGGAGGAGGTGAAGGAGGAGGAGAAGCAGGAGGAGGAGGAGGAGGAGACACGTAGGAAGAGGATGAGGAACAAATGCAGTGGAGGAGAGACGGGGCCTGATGATACGGAAACAGGAAAGACGATGGGGATTTCATGGCGTTGCGTTCCATCGTCGCGCGAGGTAGATAAAGAGAAGAGGAGAGAGGACCAAATAGAGAGGGAGAGAAAGACGAGCACAGAAAGAGAGAGAGGGGGAGAGAAAGACACAGAGAGAGAGAGAGAGAAAGAGAGAGAAACCGAGATAGCGAGAGAGAGAGAGAGAGAGAAATAAAGAAAGAGACGTGTGTGTATAGATATATGTGTATGTAGCTGTATGCCCATTCGCATATTTGTAATACCCTGGACCCCCGCCGAAGTCAGACCCCAGAATCCCGGATCCCCGGGACCCTCTGGACCCTCTGGATCCGTGGCTCCGGAGACCCCCTGGACGCCCCTGCAGGAGGCCTCCCAGGCGTTTCAGAGCTCCTGGAAGCCCTTGCTGGGCCTAGACAACGGGCCCCAGGCACCCACCAGACGCCCGAAGACGACCCAAGGAAGACCCCCAAGAGGCTTCCAAAACGGTCCCAAGGTTTTTGCATGATTTTGGGAATGCCCTCTCCTTCAGGTTTCTGGGCGTCCGTGACCGCCTGGGAGGCTCGAACATCGCTCCAAAACCATCCGAAAGGGCTTCCAAGCAGTCCAAGAGAGCCCCAAGACGGCACAACAGGGTTCCAAGACGGCCTAAGACAGCCCCATGACCGCCCAAGATGGCACCGAGACGCCCTCCGAAGCATTCCAAATCTTGACCCCGTCGTTCAGGGAGACCGCGGTTGGAGGCAGGGTGGCCCGAGGAAGCCCCCAGAGGCCCCCAGACGACGCCCAGGAGGCCTCCAGAAGGCCTTACGAAAGCATGAACAACTTCCGTGAGGCCCCCAGAGGCTCTTCCAGGAGGAGCCTCCTCAAAAAGAGCTGAGGAGAACAGGGTAGAATTCGCAGGGTAGGGCGAGAGTGAGGAGAAATGAGCATGGAGGAAGGATAACGAATAACATGACTATAACGGCGATGCCAGAAATGGCAACAAGGAGTTATCGCTATTGACCTTCCTGCCATTCCGCATGCATGCCAAACTTCAAGGACCAAAGTGCATGGCGCGAAGCGCCGATGCAGTCTTCCATATTTATATAGCAATATGTGTGTAAAGAGAGATAGAGCGAAGAGAGAGAGAGAGAGGGAGAGATAGACGCGCTGCGATGCGAGGTGAGGCGATGTGGGGTGAGGGCGAGAAGCGAAAGAGAGCGGAACAGGAGGGGAGGCGACAAGGGGGGAGGTTTGGGGGGGCCTTTGGGGCTTCTTTTAATTCGTGAGCCAGTGTGGGCCTCACGGAGGGGAGAAAAGAAATAGAACCGCACCACACGATGGCCAGAGGAAGGGAGTGGGACGGGCAGAGGAGGTAAACAGAAAGGGGAGGAGATCGGCGGAGGAGCGGCAGCGCGGGGGGGGCGGGGGAATAGACCCCGTTGTTCGCCGTCCTCCTCCCCCCCCCTTCCCCCCCCTGCCCCCCCATCCTCTCTTCCTCTTCCACCTCCCCTTCTCTTCCAGCCTTTTCCCCTCCCCTCCCCTAAACCACCCCCCCCTTCCCGCCTCTTCCTATCTCTTTCTAGCCCTCCTCGCCCCCCCGGCCCCGTCTCCCCCCCCCCGCCCCCGTCTCCCCCCCCCTCCTCTCCAGCGCTTCCCCCCCGCCCCCCTCTGCCGGGGCCGTCTGCAGGCTCAGCCAGGAGGTGGAGCGCCTCGCGCGGGAGCGGTTCTCCAGGGCCGCTTCATCTCTCTCTCTCTCTCGTTCTCATTGCTCGCCCTTTTGTTTATTTATTCTCTCTCTCTCTCTCTGTCTTTCTCTATCTCTCTTTTTGTTTGCCCTTCTGCCCCCTGTCCCTCCCCTCGTCGTTGTCGACCTCCGGTCACCGCTTCTCCTGCCCTGCTTCCTCCCGTCCCTCCTTCCCGATCCTCATCCCCCCTCTCTCCCTTCTTCTCCTCACCCTTTTCCGTTGGTCAGGCAGTGGTGGGATGGCCGTTGCGTCAGTCCTTGTCCCCACTGCTTATCCGCACTCTTCCCCCTCCCAGTTCCCAGCCGTCGCCGCCGCTCTCCTCCCTGTTCCCCTCCTCCGCATCACACATTCCTCCTTCCTCCACCCCATCTTTCCATCCTCCCTCTATGTACTCATCGCCCTTATCCCTCTTCCTTACCACTCCGTGCACCGCGGCCTCCTCTTCGCCCTGCTCATCTGCTCATCCATCGTCGCTCTCATCACTCCTCCTCCTCCTCCTCCTCCTCCTCCTCCTCCTCCTCCTCCTCCTCCTCCTTGTTCTCCTCCCCCTTCGTCTTCGTCGTCGTCGTCGCCGTCCCTATTCATATTTCATCGCCATCCTGCTTCACCTAGC